AACAACTCTGACGACAGCGGGCATAATTGCCACGCCACTATCAGGCCCGCATCTGACGCCGACAAGGCAATTGTGGCAATTATTGAGTCGAACTCGGAGTGTCAAGCCAGTACCGCATCAATTAAGACCCATGTGGTGGCTAAAGAAGTGAATAATTATCACACACATGCGGATGACCACTATGAGCTGTAAATACCGTGAAACCTGTGCATGTCTCAACCTTATCTGCGCATGATCATGACTATGTTACCATCACCTATGATTAAGGATTCCCGGCGGAATCCGAGACGTCAGGCATCTTGTTCCAGTGATCGTATCCTTTTATTCTGGACTGCTTCCTGGAACTCGCATATTCTCCACTATTGACAATAGTCACTGACATATGATCAAAGAAGCCTGTGGGCGAGGGGAGAGAGAAATGAGGCCATTTTTTGTGTCTTCAGAAAGGAAGATAAAGCTGAGTGAAAGGACCGTTGCACTGTGAGTCTTTTTGATATTGCTCCAATGGTTTATTCCATCGTTTTCGGGTGTATGATTTGAGGTAAGTTTGATTCACTGGCGAGACCCGACCGAGTTGGATATGAATACATCCTAATTATGATGCATTTGAGAATTCCGCCGAGCAAAAAATAGCCGCTGGCTTTGTTGCAACGTTCTATTTCGTCAAATGCGAGTGACTTTGACGGTTTAATAGAATCCAACGACGTACTAGCCGACTATGTGTGCAGTATTGCTCAACTTCTTGCTCATAGCAATCTTGTAACCTCAACATTCGGTTTTTCGGCCGGCCTACATCATTGAATCTGTATTCGGAAGGCTGCATTTGGTTTTGATAACGCTGCATGAAATGCTAGGGTTTTTGTTTGGTGACCAGGTAATGCACGTGGTACGCGTAGACGAGGTCGTCAGATATATCGCCAACTGCGCCCATTCCCCGCACCAGTGCACTGATCGGTTTGCACAATGGCCGGGGCCTGGGTATGGGACTAGAGCGTGAGGTCAACGGCTCAGCCTACTTTCGTTACGCGCCTGAAGCTATCACAGGGCACTAAAATCCGGCCGGCCTACGTCTTCGAATCAGTATTTGGTCTTGATAGTGCTGACTTTGTCTCAGTACCACTCAGTGAAACAGTGGTCGACCTCGTCCGGGACGAGGGGTTGTCTCGGAGTCGGCTTTTGGAACGTCATCACCTCTGACTGGTGGGTATGAGTGCTTTCTATAAACACATTTTCGATTTTCTATTACTTTCACAACCTCCGTATGCATGGTTGGGGCTGAACTACTTTTCACTGGGGCTACAGAGCCAATTTCAGTCAGCAGAATAGTCACCCAAGAAGTGCTACTGACGAAGTCAAAGTAATATCACAACCCCAGGTGCTGGTGCACTCGGCTCAACTTGGAACCATAAGAGTGGTGTTCGCTGATGTCTTCCGATCGCATGAAGGAAATTGGTATCTCCGTTTTGCATACAGGCCCGTGGTCTATAACTCATGCGAACTGTTGCATAGCCAGAAGCAGTGAAAAATAGTAAAGGGTTATTGGCATAGATAAGGCACAATCAAAATCCTGAAGCGTGTTTTCGATCTCAGCAGGCGGCTTGCATAAGGTTGTTATACTGTTTATCATGCTGCCCAATATATTGGTATTGATATATCAAGAAATTCCTATCATATCAAAATGTCAGTTGTTGAATGAGCTTCCTTCTGACCACCTACGAAAATCTTACTGTATAAAAAATGGCTGCTTAACTAGTATGCATTTGTCTCTTTAGTGCCTTTTTCAGTTCAGGCATATTTTATAGAAAATATGCCTTATACTCAATTTGTGGCAAATTACGTCTTCTTCAGATTTGACACTTGAAGAAATTGTGACTTTTGGTTTAACGAAAGTTTTCAATTTTGATATGTTTTACGGCCGTGAAATGTTCAGTCCTAATGCATCATGTCCGTCGGTTTATTAATTTAACCTCTAGAGTATACAACGTGATGGATGTCCATTGCAAAACTTTATAAGAACTGTTTAACTTATTTCTCATGGCGTAGAGAAGTGTGTGCTTTTCCTTAGACAAAATATTTACAGTATGTTGTTTTGTAAATATGAATCCAAATGAAAAGGCCGGTACAGTTCAACATTATTCGACAATTTAGAAAGTTTCTAAAAACCGAACGATACCCTTCCCTCAAATATGAAATTTGAAGAAGGCGTTATCTTCTACCAAAGAAGTACAAGAGATAGTATGCTTGTGCATATTTCCTATAATAGGTATGTGAGTTTACAGGGGCATCGAAAATAAGTAAGCAAAATGAGTAATACTTACGTAATCATTTTTACAGCGTTGGCTTTTTGCATCTGGTCAAAAAGAAGCTCCTTAAAGTAACTCGTACCTCACACGATTATCATCTCGCGATACTTTCGGCCTGATCAAATTTGAATGTGTGGCCGGCTTTCGTCGAAGGAGCGGCAACTTCAGGATTGGCGTCATTTCTTCGCACTGCTGCCGGGTGTTCGACAATTCGCGTCTTGAAAAGTTTTCCAGATTCTCCAGCGTAGTTGCTTTGTCGACAACTGCATCACATCGAAAAGAAACATCTGGAGTCGTCTATCGACGTCAGAGAAACTGAAAAACTCCTCGAGACGCGAATGTTCGAAAGCGCGACTGAAAATGCGAAGCCAGACAAACGCGTGAGCGCAAGTGGGATTACCGGCATGGGACGGCAGCTAAGATCGATGACAGCTGCACACGTGCGAACACTAACCCCCGATGGGAGGCCCCTTGACTGAGATTAATCCACCTCTGCAATATTACAAGCCCGCTCAAGTTATCCTTAATCGAAAACGTATTTCAGAATTCTGGTTAAAATTTAATGAAACATTTCATCTACTTTACTAATCCGCTTGCAGACCGCTACAGCGTCCTCTGCAAGACTGGTCTCAGGGCGGACAAACTATCGAAGGCTTGTGATGTCTTCTTCTTTTACTGACCCCCTTGA